CATCAAGTCGCCTGCGACTCATAGTGACCCCATGTACAAGAGCCCTAAACGCTGCTCTATCCTGTGCCAACCTTGCCGTCTCTGACACACTCATTCCCACCACCCTAGTCACAGAATTGATCCATCTCATTGAGAGTCTTCCTCTCCTGTGCCCCGTTTCTTTAGCAATCCTAAAAAATGGGTGCATATTTTGCATTCCCCTGCCATATCATCACGTATTTATGTGTTAATATAAAAAAATGCATTCTTAGTTATTCCATGAGGAAACCAGCCCTCTGAGGCCAGCTTGGGGTACCCTGTACCCACCTGTGCTTCTGGGCAAGGCTCTGGACCCCAAGGAGGCCAGGAGGGGAAGAAGGGGGTCTAGTGAATAAGGATGGCAGAAGAAAAATTGATGCCTTTGCATTGTGATGTTGGGGAACAGTAGTGAATGGACTACCAAGAGACATAGATGTGTCTTGGGGAAAGTGCAGCCAGAGCCTTGGAGGCAAGGACGGCGAAGCTTCATCTCACATACTTTGGGCGTGTTACTAGGAGGGGCTGTTTTTTGGAGAGGGACATCATACTTGGAAAGGTGGAGGTCGGCGAAAGGGAGGAAGACCCTCAAGGAGAAAAGACTGACACAGTGATTGCAGCAGGGGTTCAAGTGCATTCGAAATGATGATGGAACAGGAGAGGACAAGGTTCAGGTCTGTTGTTTGTAGTGTCGCTGTGAGTTAAACTTGGCTCCATGGCTTCTAACAATGACAGATGTGCAGCCAGAGGGCTGCTGGGATCTGTGGACTGGGCTCCTGCCACCTGTGGGCAGGCGGACGGGTGCATCTTTGGTCCATGAAGCAGGGTGTGGGCTCAGGACTGGGGTCCCTGTGAGGGGAGCTTCCGGGGCGCTCTCCCTGAACTGGTCATAGTTTGGAGTGTCGCCAAGTAGACACATTGCCACTTAGCTCCAGTTAAGCCAGACTGGGCAATCATAGGAAGGTGGGTGTGGGGTTGGTCACCTTCTTCCTGTGGCCCGGTCGCCTCCGTGGTATGATGTCAGGGCCGGTCTTCTGGGATCCAGAGACCAGATATGCTTGACTCAGGGCAGGTGACGTGGCAGCTGGGCCTGCGCTAGAGTCGTCAGCCCTCCCAAGGTGGGCTCTGATGTCAGACAGGACCCATAGCAGCTATCCCGGGTCCTGATGCCCTCCCAGGACTCACCTCCCCACTCCCCAGTGTGGTCAGGTGCCGCCCCTGAGTGCCAGTCCCTGTCCCCCAGGACTTGTCTTCCACACTAACACGGTTGGTTCCTTCCTCATCCAGCAGCTGCCCCTGTGTCCCAGTCCTCTCACTATCCCCATCATGGCCAGTAGCTGCTTCTGAGCCCCGGTCTTTGTCCCCCAGAATTCACTGCACCCCTTTTCAGCCAGCAGCTGCCTCTGAGTCCTGAGTTCTGTTCCTTGCCTCCAAGACCCACACCCCCCTCCCCGCCTTGTACAGCCTGGACGCAACCCAAGAGCAGCTTCCCTTCATGTACCACCCCTTGGTTCCAGGGCTCCACTGTGGTTGGATTGAGGTTGCCAAGAAGACTAGGCCGAAACTCGGGGTGACCTGTGTCTGCTACCTCTCCCCACCCTCCCGTATACTGTGCTCCCATGGAGGAAGGCCTCTCTTCGCCCTCTTGGGCTCAGACCCCCTTGCTCTATACCAAGACCCAGCGTGGGGGCACGTGTGTGTGCTCCATGTCTTTGACTGTGGATGTGCCATGCCCAGCCCGCCTCTGTGCCCAGCCCGCACCTCGCTCCCACCGCCTTCCCTCAACCCCCAGCTGTGTGGACAGAACAACTGATCTTTCGTTGGCATTGGCGTCCCCAAAAGGACACGGCAACAGTTTTATCTGTGTGACAGGTGCTGGGGAAGTGAAGTCCAGTTTCTGGGGCTATGCTGGCCTCTTGCCTTTGCTGGACATTGGTTGCTCAGCTGTCTTGGTGCGGTGGTTGTTCCAGCACCATAGAGGTGCACTCATACCTCCAGTTGGGTCCCTGGTCCCACCAGCCTTGGGGTGACCAAGCCCAGCAGCGCCCCTTCCAGCCAGCCCCACACCGTCCAGTCAGCTGCGCACCTCAGACACCTGCACCCACAGTGCTATATACGGTGTCTCCTTGCCTGTACCGGGCCACTTGACCTCCCTGAAGTCTCCACATTCTTTCAGGGGGCCCATCATCCAGTGGTGTGAACCTCACACTGTGATGAACTGGGCTGGGGTGAGGCCCCAAGCAGCCTGGCCCTGTGCCCCACACTGAGCATGTGCGCTCAGCCGTGTGGCCTCGGGGCCCACACTCTGCGCACTCGTGTCGGCTGTGTCTTGTCCATAAAAAACAAACATGCTGGGGAGCCGAGGAGGAAGAGTCTGGTGTGTGTCTGCCTCTGCCAAGCCTCTGCCACTCCCGCCATCTCTCCACCCCGCCATGGGTCTCTGGAGCCCTCTGGGGCAAAGCTGGACTGGAGCCCAGAGAGCCTGGGCCTGGCCAAGGCCTCACTGGTGGGTGGGTTGGCCAGCTTCCTCTGTGCCCCGCCCCTACACCTCTCTGTGTGCCTGCACACCCATGGGACAGCTGCTCACCCTCTGCACATGCAGCCAGCTCGGTGGCCGAGAACGAGGCCCTGCTCTCTCTCTGGGCCTCATCCTCTGCCTCTCCGAGGTGGGGCGTGCTGGGCTCTGTGCGATGGGCGAGCTGGTATGTGCTGTGCACAGCAGAGGCCTTGAGAGGCTGCATGAAGTTGTTCCCATCGGCTTTCCCTACCCCTACCAACAGAGCGCCACCCTTAGCCAATGGGTCCCCTGGGTCTGGCAGGAGACAGAAGCACCCAGGTCCAAGGCCATGCCCTGTGGGGAGTGAGCTTGGCTGCTTCCGGCAGCCTCGGATTAATGGCTTTTAATTTAGAATTCAATCAATGCAGCGTCTCTCCAGAAAGCTGGATGCTCTGCTTTTAAGCCGAGTCTGATGCTCCGCAGGGAAAGGGGAGGGAATTCCCATGATGGCCTTGCCAGGCCTCCACCCAGGCCAGCCTGACCTTGCTCTGCTTCATCTGCAGCTGGCAGGTGCACCGGCCATGGAGGACTGCAACGTGCACTCGGCAGCCAGCATCCTGGCCTCGGTGAAGGAGCAGGAGGCGCGCTTCGAGAGGCTGACGCGGGCGCTGGAGCAGGAGCGACGCCATGTTGCCCTGCAGCTGGAGCGCGCCCAGCAGCCCAGCATGGGCAGTGGTGGCATAGGCTGTGGGCAGCCCTTGTCAATGGCCTGGCAGCAGTTGGTCCTACAGGTAAGGGAAGAGTGGAAACAACCAGGTAAGGAAAACAATCGGGGGGACCTTAGTGGACCCACAAGCTGGTAAACATAAAACTTGTGGGGCCCATGGGACTGGAGAACAAAACGGTTCACACACACCCGTGCCAGGAGGTTGGATGTCCCGTGTCGCATGTGACAAACAGGCCTGTCCTGCAGAACAACACTTTCCAGCAAGGCAGCTGAGGAGGCTGGGTGGTTCAGTGGTCAGCACGGGATGGGAGAGTTTTGCCTTTAGGTGTCTCACACAACCTGTGGGTGGGTCACCCCGAGGAAAGACTCCACCATGTCCCCAGGCTCCACCTGCAGCTCAGAGAGTGAGCTGGGAGTCCGTTTCCCTGCCGGCCGCTGCTCCATGTCTGGGCTCAGGGATCAGTTCTCAGCTCAGGAGGTGTGGAACCGTGTGCCTGCTCTTAGCTGGACACTCTGAGCTATGAAGTTGGGGTGCACACTCAGGAGGAAGGCTCTTTGGATGCTCTCCACCGCCTGTTGTACCCCAGCACCCTAATCTGCAAACATGGGTGGTGGCACCTGGCTCACGGGGTGGCAAGGGTGGAAAGAAAAACCGTGAAGCGCTCAGTGTTTGGTGTTCTTAACTGCATATGCTGTCCCCCCATCGGGAGACCAAAGCCTGGGGCTGGGGTAGTCAGCATGGGCCCCCCTCCACATCTCCTCTTGCTGTTCCTCTTTGCCACCTGATTCAGAGACCTGGGGAGCCATGGCTTGCCGTGTCCACTCCTTGGAGAGCGATCTTAGAGGACCGCGCAATGAGTGCCTTGGTTTCCCTGACTCAGCTCCCTGGGCAGCAGACCAGACAGCCAGGCTTCCTCCCAGCATCCCCCCTCACCACCCACACTCTCCCTAGTCCCACATGGTTCTGACTGCAGAAGGGCATTGCTGTTGGCCGGCAGCACCATGTCTGGCACACACACCACTGGTTGGGGGCAGCCCGTGTCTTTTGTGGCTGGAGAGAAAGCGAGATCTGGGCTGAGGATGGCCCAGTGGCTGAGCATATGAGTGTCAGCTCAGCAGTGGAAGTGGGCCTTAGAAGTAATAGCCTGCGTCAGGCTACTGGGGAGTATGGGACAAGGGACCCTTCTGACCCTCAGTGACCTTGTCTCTTCAGTGGAGTAGGTAACAGTCCTTATGTCTACTCTCATGATCCTTCTAAAGCGTGCAGCCCAGCATAGATGTCAGTTGGAACTCTCCCTTAGCACCCCACCTTCAGAGGCCCCCAGGTCCCGCTGACAGGGCAGACCTATTGAAGAGTGATCCTTCCCAAGCCCCCCTGTGCTGAGAGATCGTGTGTATGTGTGTGTGTGTGTGTGTACACATGGCTCAAAGGAGGCTGGTTTTAGGACCGGAGCGGGCCTAAATGCAATGGCCAGTCTGCTGCCCCCCAGACTCCAGGCACTCCAAAGCAGAGGACACACTGGCGGTCCTGCATGAGGACAGTGGCAGCCAGTGACCCCAAGACCTCCACCCAGGCACCAGATGCTCTGTTCCTTAATCTGGACCAGAACAGGCTCTAGCCTCCAGCCCACAGATGGCGCCGCAGAGGGTCAGTGCCCTGGCTGGGAGATGTTCCCACAGCCTGGGGCAGCCCTGGCCTCCAGGGGTTATAGACCTCACAGCCCCAGGCTGCTGCCCCTCCCTGCCCGCCAGCTTTTCTGTCTCTCTGGGGGAGGCAGTTTTCCCAGTCTGGGAATGGAGTGAGCATGTGTTCCCAGGACACCAGCTGCACTGACCAGGCTTCTGGGGACACTGGAGGAGGCGGGGCCCCCTCGGCCTGGCCCTACAGCAGGGAGCACTAGGGCTGGCCAAGACCTGTAGCCTCGATGCCAAACCTGCTTCCCAGATTAATCTCTGCGGGAGGTGCCTGGTGACCTACCTATCTGGGGAGTCACAGGGCTGCTGGGAACTGGTGGGCTTGAATACCAACAGGGCTGGTGTGGTGGTCATACAGCTGCTGGAGTCAAGGCCAGCCAGAGTCTGAGAGGCTGGAGGGAGTATTCAGGGGCGAGGGTACAAGTTGGGCAGCTGGGAGCCACTGGTCACCGATGATATGTGTGCCCTGCCTGGACTGTTCCATGTCCTGGCCACCTGCCTGCCTTTCAGCCTCCAGAGAAAAGGCTCTCATACTGGAGCTGGGCTGGGAGGGGATCTCGCTTGGAGGCTGTTTTACCCCTTTCAGTGTGGGTGTACGGCAGGACAATGTTGTTAGGTGCCATCGAGTCAAGTACAATCATAGCGACCCTGTGAACCACAAATCTGAGCCCTGTCCTGTCCTGTGCCATCCTCATCATCTCTGACACACTTGAGCCCATTGCTCCAGTCACTGTGTCAGTCCATCTTGTTGGGAGCCTTCCTTTCTTTTGCTGACCGCCCTTCTTTCCAAGCATGATGTCTCTCTCCAAGGAATAGCTTCTCCCAGCCATGTGCTCAAAGTCCAAGACATATCTGTCTGTTTCTTTTGGCTGTCTGTGGAATATTTGGTACTGTCTTCTCCCACACCATAACCCAGAGACAGAGTTTCTTTTCTGTCATCCTTATTCATTGTCCAGTGTGCTCAGATGCAAGTGATGAAAAAGACTGTGGCCTGAATCATGGCAGGGCATTGTTGTTGTTATGTGCCATTGAGTTGCCTGAGACTCATAGTGACCCTATGTTCAACAACTGTGAAGCCTGCTCTATCCTGAGCCAGTCTCAGTGACTCTGACACACCTACTCTCAGCCTGCTCTATCCTGAGCCAGTCTCACTGACTCTGACACACCTACTCTCATTGCCCTAGTTACTGTATCAATCCATTTTATCTGGGGTCTTCCTCTCCTGCGCCGTCCCTCCACCCTTCCGAGCATGGTGTCCTTCTCCAAGAATCAGTCCCTCCTGGCCACATGCTCAGAGTATGTGAGATGGAGCTTCAAAATCCTAACCTCCAAGGAGAAACTTGGTTTCACTCACTCCAAGATAGATCTGTTAGTTCTCTTGGTGGCCTATGGTATGTTCAAGACTCTTCTCCAGCACCGCAACTTGAAGGCATCAATTCTTCTGCCATTCTTTGTCATTTTTCAGCTCTCTGATGCATAACAAGTAATTGTGAAGACCACAGCCTGGATCAGGTGCACCTTAGTCTCTAGACTGACATATTTCGTATAAGCACTCTGGTGCTTATAAGCAGCAGATTTACCTAATGCAATTCATCTTTTGATTTCCTGACTGCTGGTGCCAAGAGTGTTGATTGTGGAGCCGAGCAAGCTGAAATTGTTAACAACCTCAATCTCTTCTCCATCCATCGTGGTGCTGCAATAGCAGTGAAGACAGAAATGGCTCCAACAGAAGCATCTTGACTCCATTCCTCAGGACAGTGGTCCAGTCCAGCTCCTCAGAATTCAAGGCCATGTCTTCCATGGGCACCTGGGGAAATAGCCTTATGGGAGAGTGGACACGCAGAGTACTTGAGCGTGTGGACTTCGTGGCCTGAGCAGTGGCACTTGTGGTGGTAGAGTGGCCCCAGCAGAATCTGATATGAGGTGGCTGTGAGGTTGGAGGCCCTAGTATAAGCCCTTCCCTGAGATTCCCCCAGGCTGACCCAGCTCTGCCCATCTCCAACATCCATTTCCATATCTGACCTCTGTTTCCATATCTGTGGTGTAGAAGCAGCCACGAGTCTGCCTTTCTGGGTAAAGCTGTATGTTTATGTCAGCCTCTTGGGGTGCACTTCAATAGGAGAACCCAGACAGTGCATGCCAGGACCTACTGCCCTCCCAGGGAGACCACAGACGTGGAGGATGGACAGTTTGAGGCCAGCTCAGCCCTCATGTGCCAGAGAAGGTACCTGGCTGGCCCTGGGTCACCCAGCAGTTCCTCCTCTTCCATTTGAATGGCTTTCATCACCCTCAGGAGACCCTGGGCTACCATGTGGGAAGGTTTTCTTAAGATCCCATGGAGAGGGGTCTGACTTTGGGGAGACCTGAGGGACCCCCCCACAGGCAGAACCCTGCAGTGCTGGTGATACCTTTAATGTCTCATTGACCACAGTGTCACAGCCAGATGAGCAGCCAGTGTGTCCAGGGAGCTAGAGCCACCCTGCCCTGTGCTTCTCAGCATGTGAGACCCTGTTGGCTCCAGGGAGCAGGCAGGAAGGGGCTTGTGCGCCCACGTACTGGAAGCTGGACGGTCACTTGGCAAAAAACAAGCATCCAAGGGGAAAAGGGACTGGAAGTGCACAGGAGCTCGGCCCTGTGTGTGGGGACGACCCCAGCCCCGCCCAGGCTGCGGAGCCCCGCCCCGTGCCCGGTGGGGGCGGTCCCGGCCCCGCCCAGCCTGGGCGCGGCCCCTCCCGATTGGCTGCTCCCGGTGACCGCCGCCAGTTCCGCCCCCGTGGGGAGCGAGCCCGTGGAGCCCGAGTGGCCGAAGCTCCAGAGCCGAGCTCGGTGCACCGCGCCGCAGCCTGCCGCCCCGAGGAGCCCCGCGGAGCCCGGCCTCATGCCGGCCGAACTCAGACAGGTTGGCTGGAACTTGGTGCGGGGCACAAGGGGGGCGCTGTCCCTAGGGTCCAGTGGGGGGGTCCCTGGCGGCCGAGGGCGGCGCCGGCCTTCCTGGGAGGACTCGCTTTTGTTTTGCTGCGGAGCTATCGGCCAGAGGCTGCTATTGTCTGCGCCTCCGATCTGGCTGCGTCAGGCCCTGGGGTCGGAGGCCAGCGCCAGCGCGCCCTGGGGGTGTGCAGAGCAAGGGGTGGGCCAGCCCTGGAGGGGTGTCCAAGGCGGGAGGCGGGGCTGCAGAGTCCCTGGGACCCCTCCCCGCGGGCCGAGTGTGGGGGTCCACGGCCCCAGAGTCCTAGCATGGAGAGAAGCCAAGACCTTGTGGACGCGCCCCCAGCGGGTACCCAGGACAGGTGCCAGGGGGCTCTTCCCGGCAGCCCTTCTCAGTGAAGGAAGGAACCTGCAGCCAGAGAGGGAATCCCAGCTCAGGTCCTGCTTCCTGAGCGCTCCCTGGCTTCTCCCCCCTCGCCTCCACACCGCTAGAGTGAACCCTGCTTCCAGTGACCCGCAAAGGAACTCCTAGGGCGTTGAGAACCCCCCTCTGTAGAGTAGTGCACGTGAGAGGAGACCATGTGCCATATGGGAGGGGAGGGGTCCCGTGGAAGCAGGGACAGAGTTGACCGTCCTGCATGGTGTGGTGAGGGTGTGTGTGTCTAGCCCTGTGGTCAGAGGGGTTTTAGGGTGTCCCTTAACAGCTGGGAGCCTGGGGCACAGGAAACATGCCCAGGGCCTCTGGTGGAAGGAAGGCTTCATCACACAACTCACCTGTCTACCTGGGCTGGGCTGGCAGCTGACCACCCCTGAGGTGTAGGGTCCAGTGGGGAACACTGGGGATGTTCTAGTAACAGCTTGACCAATGCGCTATCTGGCTAGATTTGGGGAGGGCATAAGTTGGGGAAACCCCAAGCCCAGCTTTGCTCCTTAAGCCGTCTAGGTGCCCACCACCCGTGGCCTCTCTCTGCAGGGGGCCAAGGTGGCCTGGGGCAGAGCCACACCCAGACAGGTGGACCTGCTGCTATGCTGGCCTCAACTTCCTGCCCAGCAGAAGGTGGTCAGGAGCTGTGGCTACAGAGGAAGAAGGGGTGTGTGTGTGTGTGTGTGTGTGTGTGCTGGTTAACACACCCTGCCCGGTAGAAGGCACTTGGTTGTCTTGTCCTGGACTTGAAGCCTGTGTCACTCAGTGACAGTCATTTGTGTTTTTTCTAGGAATCTGGGATGAGAAGAGCCCCCCCCCCCCACACACACACACACACTTGCCTTAACCTGTCCTGCGTATGCAGCTTAGGCTCATACCATTATGGTCTATCTGCCACTATGCAGAAGTCCAGGCGGGATGCACGCATGCGTGTTGCAGGACCCCAGCCTGGCCCGCCTAGGGGCCAAACTTGTTCTCTTTGGCCCCTCCACATGCCCAGAGGAAAGTCCCTTTATGTCTCATCTACTTCTTGCTTTTCCTGGCTCTCTGTTGGCCCTGTATCCGGGTGGAAAAACTGAGCCCAAGGAGTATCTGTTGCTGATGTGATTGAATCTGTGATTGTACTTCCAGGGACCCCTTGGGGAGCAGGAGGGTCTGTGAGTGATTGAGCTTGGGGACTGGTTTTTCTGATTCTCTAGCCTCAGTTTGGGAGCTGACCCCTCTACCAAGCTGAAGAGAACTCTCAGGAACGTGTAGGCCCAGGGACTGAGAGGACCAGGATGTATAAGCCACAAGCTGGTTTTGGGTGCCTGAGTCCAGGCTAAGAGGATGGGACCCTAGTCCCAGTAAGAGGAGTGAGGATGAAACCAGGGCCGGACCAGGGGCACCTGGACAATTGACAGGAATTGGCAGGACTTGGGATAGGGGAAGGGGATGAAGTGATAGAGTGGCTGACACATTGTCCCCACTATCTGGGGAGTGGTTCACCAGCCAGCCTGGGGCAGGGGCTGTTGGGCTGCAGGGTGAAGGGTCCTTCTGGTGGGCCTGGGCAAGTCGATGTGGACGTGGGGCCTTGGAACAGAACATAGGAGCCAGACAGGCATCTGCCGCCTCAGGAGGCCCCCACTGTGCTGGCTGCCGGCCAGCAGTCCAGTCCCCACCCAGAGGCCTGAGATGTGAGAGGACCCTAGTTTCCTTATCTGTTCCTGGCTCTGAGAGCCCCATAATGGAGACTTAACAGTAACTGAGGGAGTGGGTGGCCTCCATCCCTGCGCTAGAGACCCTGAAGTGAAGAACAGTCTGGACGTGTGGGTAAAGGCTGTGAGTGCATGTCAGTGTGCCGTGAACAGTGGGCATCAGTGTGCTTGGGATGCCTTTAGGGGGACATGCAGACCGACCTGCCGAGGAACGTGTGCCGGGCTGGCACGTGTGTACGCCTCTTCATACCTGAGGGATCTGGTGCATGGATGTGTGTGTAGGAATGGCCGTGCGTGTGTTCAGGCACCCATGTGTGACAGACAGTGGACTCGCTCCCATGCTGGCACCCTTGTGCCTGAGAGGCCAGGTGTATGTGCACGTGTGAATGTGTGTGTGCACCCACTGCACCCAGGTGTGTATGGCACTTCTGGTGCCCGTGCGGCTCTGTATGTGTGCCCACTTGGGGTGCCCCTGCACATATGTGCATGCATGCATCCTTGCCTGAGGGACCTGGTATACACGTAAACGTGGATCCTTGGCTCTGTGTGGGGGTGTGTGTGTGCCAGGTGCGGTGCCCCAGGGCGTGTGCTCCGTGCGTGTGGCTATGTCTACGCGGGCCGGGCTTGCCCTGTGATCAGCTGGCTCACCATCCGATCCCACCCCCTGGGTGAAGTCATTACCCATTTTTAGCTCCCTGAGGTCATCTGCCAGCAGGGCTCTTGGGGCTTCGGTGTTCTCAAGGCACTGGGATCCTGAGGCTAGGTATTGCTGGGCGATGCTATAAGATAGGCAGGCCTTGCTGTGAGGCCTTCCTTGGTTCCCTGGACCGCCCCCGCCCTGGCTCCTTGGCCCCTTAATTCTGCATGCTGTGGACCCTCACTGCAGGCCAAACTGGGAGGAATGATCTAGACCACAGAGTGGCATTGAGGTCCTAGTGTGCCGCGCCCACCTCCATGCACTCTCCCCACTGCCTGGCCCCTGGGCTAGGGTCTTCTTCCCTGGGAATGCATGCAAATGTATGCAAATTTACTCAAGGGCCAGTCCCCCAGGCAGAGTGTCCTAGGCAACACCCTTATGCCATTCTTGTGTCCCCCCCTCCAGGGTGCCACCTGAAGCCCTCTCTTGCCCATTCTCTCCTCCCGCATCCCTCCCTGAGCTCTGACTTGACTCCCAGCGCCCAGCAGAGAGTTGATAGCCTGACACAGTTGCCAAGTGTGGATGGCGAAGTTGAGCCTCCAGCAGTGCCAGACTGTCCCTGAGCCAGAGTCATCCAGGCTCTCCAGGGCTCTCAGAGGTCAGAAGGGAGCCCAGGGCCCCTGCTTGGCAGCCTGCCAGCATGCCCCCTTAGTCTGGGCCTCAGTTCACTTTTCTTTGCTGGGGGCCGTGTTCCCTTCTCCAAAGGTCTGCATGCTACAACTGTGGGCCACGGGGGCTGAGTGTTGCTAAGAGGCCTCCGTGCAATGGGGCAGTGTCCACTTCCCTGCAGATGTCTGGAATCCCGTTAGCAGTGTGCGAGGTTCTGGATAAGTCCCCTGCCTTCCGCTGGGCCTCAGCGTCTCCCATCTCTAAGTTGTGCCCAGTCCCCTGAGGCCCTGCTTCTGGAGGAAGGGTGAAGTACACTTGGTAGCCTTTTTCTTCCTTCTCAGAAGAGCCTTTCGAGGTGATTGGGCCCAGAACCTCAGCACTGCGTGTGACTGGGGGAGTCAGGCATCATTGGGGCGGGCTTCACATTCTGAGCACTTCAGGAGGATTCAGCAGTATCCATCTCAGCTGACCTCGCTGTTGGACACTGACCTGTAGGTGGGCACCTCTGTGGGTCCCCTGGTGTTCTGTAGAGTCCCTGAGGGGAGCCCTGAGTGCCTGCCCCCCCAACCCTCTGGAGCCGAGACAGGGACAGAATACTATCTCAAAAGCCCGGCTGATGCTGCTGACTTCTTTGGTGGTTAGGCCTCCCTGGGCCTCAGCTTGGTGTCTGTTTAGGCCTCTGGCCTGAGGGCCCAGATGGGTGATTCACCCTCTAGGTACAGCCTTTGTCCTGCTCAGGCTGCCTGGGATTGTGCCCCACCCCTGCCACTGGCCACCTACCCAACTTGGTCTGGCATTTCCCACTACCCACCATGGTCTGGGATTTCCGACTGCCTGGCCTGATGCCCGTCCTGTGGCAGGTTGGGCCTCACCCGGGGGCTGGGAGCTTGTGTGATCAGAGGCCCAGTCTGTCCCCCAACAGCCCTGAGCGCAGTAGAGGTCCAGCCCAGCTCTGATGTGGACTGGGTCATCTTTGCACCTCAGTTTCCCCACGAGCAAGTCTGGCCAGTAGGCACGTGTGGGCCTCAGGAGGACATCCGTCCACAGCTGCTTTGTGTGGAATGCCACCCTCATGAGTCCCCTCAGGGACAGTGGCCAGGTGGCTGTAGGCCAGGAATGGGGCTGGGCCAGAGTTTGTGGATCCCTCAGGAGAGTGAGGGGAACGGTGGAATCCCCCCAAGGGCCAGCTGAGCGACTTAAGCTGGAACCCACCTTCTTTGGGCTTCAATATACCACTCAGGTTCACGGAAAACGGGTGTCCAAGCCTTCTGCCTGAGGCAGAGATAGGCCCCACCCACCTAATGCCCAAGAGTGTCCAGCTGGAAGAAGAATATTTTGGTGGTGTTCATACACAGGGCTTTCTGAGAGCAGGGGTATTTCTGTCCTGTGAGGACATCTGACAGGCATAGGGGCAGGAATGTGGGCATGCCCAGGAAGCGTCTCACCAGAAGTGCTCAGATCATCGCTAAAAGCCCTGATCTACTTCGCACTTGGTCCTCAGTGGGGCCAGGAAGTGGCCCATGATCCACCTGCCAGGGACCCTTGGGAGAGGGCCGCCCCATACTGCCCCTCACTGTGACCCCAGCCTCATCTGCCCCTCTGCCTGAGGAGGCCCTGGGGTGGGGTGACAGTCTAAGGGTTAGGGGGGCCAGAGCATGTTCCTTACCTGCTTCAGGTAAGAGAAGCCCTGAAGTTGGGTGGTCTCCTGGAGGGGAGACACTGGGGAAAAGAGACGGACACTCCTGGCAGAGGGGCCAGCGTGAGCTGAGGAGGTCATACCCCACTGATGCTCACCCATTTCCCCCCAGGAGCAGAGCCCAGGCAGCCAGGTCTCACTGGCCACCATGCCAGAGGCACCTGAGGTGCTGGAGGAGACGGTGACAGTTGAGGAAGACCCTGGCACACCCACCTCTCACGTGTCCATTGTCACGTCTGAAGATGGCACGACACGGCGCACGGAGACCAAGGTACAGCCAGGTCCAGGTGGATGGACAGTGCAGGGCTACAGCTGCCCCATCTCCAGGGGGGCACGGGCACCAGCCCCCGAAACCCCCATTGTTCTAGCAGAAGCCCGGCTGCCCACGCAATACTCAGGCCTCCTAGGCTGCCTACTGCCCGCCTGTCTTCCAGGTCACCAAAACAGTCAAGACAGTGACCACTCGGACAGTGCGCCAGGTGCCCGTGGGCCCAGATGGCCTCCCGCTGCTGGACGGCGGGCCCCCGCTGGGTCCTTTCGCCGACGGCCCCCTGGACCAGCACTTCCTGCTCCGTGGCGGTGGCCCAGCCGCCACACTTTCCCGTGCCTACCTCGGTGGCGGGGCAGGCTTCCCCGATGGCCTGGAGGCCCGTGACGTACCCAGCTATGGCAGCCTGTCCCGAGGGCTGGGCATGCGGCCGCCCCGCGGTGGCCCACTAGGTCCAGGCCCCTGTGATGGCTGTTTCACGTTGCCGGGCCGAAGGGAGCCTTTCCCACCGGGCCCTGAACCTGCGCTGCCCGGCGGCCGCTCCCTGCCTGAGCGCTTCCAGGCAGAGCCGTATGGTTTGGAAGACGACACACGCAGCCTGGCCGCTGATGATGAAGGGGGCCCTGACCTGGAACCAGACTACGGCACCACCGCACGGCGGAGGCCAGACTGTGGGAGAGGCCCCCGTGCCAGGTGAGCACCCTTGCCTCTTTCTACCACCTCCAGGAAGGCTTCCTTACCCTGCCCTCACCACAGAACACGCTTACAGCCAGGTCTACAAGCAGGCAGGCCGCCAGAGCGAGTCAGTCATGAACACCGTAGTATGAATTAGTCTCCAGGCTTTCTTCAGGGCAGGTCCTGAGCCTGAGGAAGCTTAGACACATTTCAGGTGGGTCTGGGCAGGTGAGAAGCGAGTGGCAGTGCCTGGCACTTGCTGCCTCTCCTCCAGGCAGACAACCGTGAAGGCCTTGGGCAAAAACGATTGAGAGTGCCACGGTGTCTCTTGGCCTTTGCTGACTCGGTCTCTAATTCTGTCCTCTCAGCTCTGTTTATCTGGCAAGTGGAAACGTGACCACAGCTGGGTCTGGATCCTGCTGAGTGACCTTGGATGAGACCCCTGACCTTGCCTTTACTTCAGTCCCTTCCTCGAGAAGTGGATTTGATGATAGCTCACAGGGCTGCGGAGAGTCTAAGACATCTCCTCTCCTGAGGGGCAGGTGGCTTAAATGCCCCTTGTGTCCTGTCCCCCTGCTCCCCCCATTCCCTCTGCATCTCTAACCTGTGACTGCTGATTTACACCTGCAAATGTAACAGGAGGCTCTTGTCCACCTTTTGGTGCATGTCAATGAAGGAACCCCAGATCGGCGAGGCTGTCGATGTGGTGGCTCCCTTCTCTCTGAAAGAGCACTTTATCCAGGCCTCTCAGCAAGCCTGGGAAGTGTTGTCATTACAATAACGAGTCCTGCCCCTGGCACACGTCACTCTTTGGCCCCACTGCCTGTTACCCAGGAAGTACTGCTACATTTGCATTTAAGGAGGGTTGCCATGCTGCACCCACGTCCCAGTACTCACAGGAAGAGGGGGCCTCTCTACAGAAGGGAGACAGGCCTTGTGGGGAGGGGTGTCCAGCTCGGCCAGCATCCGGGTGGCTTCACACCTCCTCCTGGCAGCAGGCAGGGTGCAGCATGCTTGGCCTGGCCTGCCCCCTGGGAGTCCCCAACCACAGGGGCGGCTATGGTGGGGTGAGGGCTGCTCTGCCGATGGTGACGCCCCACCTGCCCGCCAGGCCCTACGAGGACGTCGCCGAGGATGGAGGTGAGCTGCTGGATGAGCGGCCACCGTTCCCAGCGGTGACAGCGCCCTTGGCGCAGCCCGAGCGGGGCAGCCTGGGCAGCCTGGATCGCGTGGTGCGGCGCTCCCCGTCCGTGGACAGCACCCGCAAGGAGCCGAGGTGGCGGGACCCTGAGCTGCCCGAGGTACTGGCCATGCTGCGGCACCCCGTGGACCCCGTGAAGGCAAACGCGGCTGCCTACCTGCAGCACCTGTGCTTCGAGAACGAGGGCGTTAAGCGGCGGGTGCGGCAGCTGCGGGGGCTGCCGCTGCTCGTGGCGCTGTTGGACCACCCGCGGGCGGAGGTCCGTCGCCGGGCCTGTGGGGCGCTGCGCAACCTGTCCTACGGCCGGGACACTGACAACAAGGCCGCCATCCGGGACTGCGGCGGAGTGCCCGCGCTGGTGCGCCTGCTGCGGGCCGCCCGGGACAACGAGGTCCGGGAGCTGGTGACAGGTGAGCAGGTGCCTGGCCAGGCCTGCTTCCCCAGGAAGAGGACAGCAAGGTGTGGCCCCGGAGGGGTGGTGCTCCCCAGGTTCCACTCGTGCTAGTCTGCAGACCGCATGTCCTGGTGTCATGTCCAGTGTGCAGATCTTTCCCCACTTTCAGTGTTGCTGCCATGGACTGAGCTCCTCAGGCAGGCCCCCTCACCTGCCCTGTGTCCCCACAAGCCCCTCAGGCCAGTCTCCCACAATCCCATCAGCTTGATGGTGCACTGGCTGGAATAGTTTCTGTAGAACTCAGTGACCACTTGTGACTGTCCTTCGCTAATCCGTATGGCCCCAGGAGGAAGCCCCATCTCCCCTACCTGCTTGGGAAATGGGGAGCAGCAGGCAGCACCCTCATGTGCATCCCCAATCCCTCTGGGGTTCCCCTCCAGGTGGAAGGGACCTAAGGTCTCATGCGTTTTGTTAAAGACTCCCATTTGCGCTGGGACAGGAAGACAGTGAGGGCGGGTTGGGGCAGGTTCCAAGGTGAGGGTCCCCCATCAGCACTGGCCCACCCACTGTGCAGGCACCCTCTGGAATCTGTCCTCCTATGAGCCCCTGAAGATGGTCATCATTGACCACGGCCTGCAGACACTCACTCACGAGGTCATTGTGCCCCACTCGGGCTGGGAGCGGGAGCCCAATGAGGACTCAAAGCCGAGGGACGCCGAGTGGACAACCGTCTTCAAGAACACGTCCGGCTGCCTGAGGTGTGGGCTGGGGGGCTTGGTCCACAGCATGGGACGTGGGGGCAGGAACCTGGCTGGAGTCAATGTCTCGGCCGCACCCCACCCTCTCTTGCCTTAGTCTACTTTCCAAGCCCTGCCCATTTTCAACCTACTCTCATCACCATGACAACCAGGAGAGAAGGCACTTGGATGCTGGCCCAAGCCTGTGTTGGGAGCCTCATCTCATTTCCCTATGACCCTTGCCTCGTCCCATTCTGGGGAGCCCCTGCAATGGTCATAGGTCCCCAAAGTCCTTCTTGTTCATGAGGACACGATCCACAGCTCTGCTTCAGCCCCTCAGAGCTGCCTGCATTGAGAGTAACCCCACCCGAGCACAGATCGGTCCTGTCCCGTCACGTTGCCAGGCGAGGGCCTGAGCCCTGGCCTCTGTAAGGGGTCTGGCCACCTTTTGCATCAGTGTTTCTGCACGCCAGGCTGGGGTGTGGGCTTCTCATAGCCCTAGCGGAACATTGAGTCCATTTTACAGATGAAGGCAGATCTCTGAGGCTGGTGTCTGGGGGAGGGCTGGGGAGTGCCGAGGTACGCCGAGGGCCCCAGATCTGCTGTTGCTCCCCAGGAATGTGAGCTCGGATGGTGCAGAGGCCCGGCGGCGCCTCCGGGAGTGTGAAGGGCTGGTGGACGCGCTGCTGCACGCCCTGCAGTCGGCCGTGGGCAAGAAGGACACTGACAACAAGGTGGGCGGGGCATGATGTGCTGGCCATCGGTGGGTTGGTGACACCAGGGATGTGAAAGGACCTCTTCAAACACAGTGTGACAGTGCCCTCAACATTTGACAAAGGGCAGGAGGTCCAGGTGGCCCGGGCATGGCTATGCCTGTGGTCACCTCCCATGCCGTGTCCTAGAGGTGCTCCTGGCTCAGGCCTCGGGTTTGGGCCCCAGGTCCCCTCATTGCACGCAGCAGCCTCTCCTAAGGGCCCAGCCCGCCCCGCCAGCTCCTCTCTCCCTGCAGTCGGTGGAGAACTGTGTGTGCATCGTGCGGAACCTGTCCTACCACGTGCACAAGGAGGTGCCGGGGGCTGAGAGGTACCAGGAGGCTGAGTCCACGCCCCCTAGCGGTGCTGCAGGCACCCAGCGCAGGAGGCGAGACGACGCGGGCTGCTTCGGCAGTAAGAAGGCCAAAGGTGGGTGGGTGAAACCAGGGTGCCGCTCAGACCCTCTGGGCCATGAGGACCCCACACCCATGCCAGGCAGGCATGGCCGCCAGAGGCCAGAAATTTTGACAGCCTACTGGGCCGTCGGGGCCAAGGACGGTGTACCACTCAGGGTCACACAGCTGAGAGGGTCAGCGTGCAGGGTCAGGACCTTCCCTTTCCCCATCAAGATTGAGGGGGTGGAGGGGGGCTCGCAGGGAAAGGTCGCTGGTGCTGTGAACTCACCCCTTCAGCTCCAGGGGAGAAGGCTTCCGTAAGCCCGTGAGCCTGGGCCACTGCATATGACACCACTTTTGGGCTGTTCCTGGGTCACATAAAGGCTGCTGACAAGGCCTGCAGAACTCTGATCCAGCCGGAGCGAGGCCTGATGTTGGTGCCATTCCCACCAGTGCTTGTAAACGCAGGGTCCAGCGACCTACATTCTCAGCTGTCATGTGGCATCCGTTCACTGCCTACACTCAAGTTCCCTCCCTTCGAGCCCAGGCGCTTTCTGACCTCATATCCCCCCCCCACACACACACCACACTCCCTACCCAGCTTATGGGCACTTGGCCCCTGGAATTCATTGAGGGGGTGGGTCCATACTCCGCCTCCCTGACCCAGGGTCTGCAGTGGGAGCTTGAGACCTTGGGAGGGCCTGTGGGGGGCAATACCCCTGCTCAGCCTCGTCTCCTCTTTCCCGTGCTTCCTCCGGCCGCCCAGAGGAGTGGTTCCACCAAGGTGAGTCCCTGTTTGTCCTGCTGTCCAGTCCTAGCACCCAAGAGGCAGCCCAGTCCCATTGCTCCAGTCGTCTCCATGACAACCGCAGGCCTTGCAGACTCTGGGAGGCAGTCCTAGCCTTGGGGGCCCTGCTCCACCCCGTCGCCTGGGTGGCTGTCTCCATGGCAACTGCATGGACATGACAGCTGTAGGAATGTTGGGCTGGACTGGCTAGGAGGCTGAGAGGCACTGCTGCTCTGTAACGTTAGCCCAAGCCCACCCAGGGCTGGGGTGTGCGCATCACGCACAAGTGCCCCCTGTGTGGAGTGGGACTGTGCAGCTCACAGAGGGACAGCACAGAGGACAGGCAGGGCAGCAGCCCCAGGAACAGCACTCTGGCCTGAGACAGAGCGGAGAGCTGGGAGGAGGCTGCACAGGTGGGGACTCACCTCGTGGACTGAGTCCATCTAAACCCCTAGAGAAGTTCCCATTGGGGAAAGGATTCTTGGAAGACCCTTCAGTTGTCCCCATTTGCAGGGACTGCACAGTCTGGGCTCCTGGCTCACACCTGGCCGCAACGTAAGGCCCAGCACAAGTTTCAAGGACAAGCCCACACAGTACCTGATGCAGGAAGGGTCCTGAGTGGCGTGGCTAAGGCTGGGCTGTCTCCAGACCTCCTGGTCAGCTTGCCTGAAGCCTACACATTGCTTACCATTGCAATGGCTCAGTGCTCTGTCCTAGACATGGTACTCTGGCCTCTGGCTCAAAGAGTGCTGTACCTCAACCTGCCTCTCTCTACCCCCTGCCCTCAGTGGCCTCATCTCCCGCTGTTCTTCCCTTCCAGGGAAGAAGGACAGTGAGATGGACAGGAATTTTGACACGCTGGATCTGCCCAAGCGAACTGAGGCTGCCAAAGGTGAGTGGATGGACAGACGGTCTAGGCCAGTCCAGGTAGTTGTACTTTGGCCCTCCAGGCAGACCTAGAGAGTCTTGGGTATCAGTTGGAGGCACTGTGACTCAATGGTTTGCGGGTTCCCCCAGAGGACCATCCTGTCCCTGGGCACCACACAAGGGCCATGAATTGAGGCCAGTGCTACAAGTCACTTCAGTGGGGGCAGCTGAGTCCTGGCATCTACTCATAGTCATACAGTGAGAGGCAGGGCCAGAATTGGAACAGGGCTGACCAAGGGGGTGGGGTGCTAGCAGTCTACCATGACCCAGTGTCAGTTAAGGAGCTCGGGCTCAGCCCAAGGGGGCTGGGAACCAGAAAATGTGCAGGAGTGGCCAGAGGGACAGGGTCGCTGATGATGAAGGCACAGATCTGTTGACTGGTCCACATGGTCTGTGTCTCTGGGGTCCTGTGCCCTGGGCATCCTGCCTGTGGGAGAGTATCTGGTGGTCCTTGGGGGCCTCCTAAACCTGAGGCGGCAGCCAGGACGGTGAGTGGAGCATTCATTACTGGCAGAAAAGCAGCCAGGACAAATGCCCTGGGAAAGGCATGTGGTGGAGGAACTTGGAACAAGGGAAGCCGAGACAGGCCAGTGTGGAGAGGCATAGGGCGTTAGGATGGCATCGGCTGGTGAAGTGTGAGGAGGTGGTCAGGGTGCTGGACAGAGCCTCAGCGTGGGACAGGCAGGCTTGGAATTTCCTCTGAACCCCTTTCCCCATCATGGCTGGGGCAGCCCTGCTCCCTGGGGAGCTAAGAGTGGTTCCGTGGGAGGGTGGGCCCGTTTTGCTAGAGCTAAGATCCGGTTGCAGTCTCCGTATCTCAGCCAGTCTGAGGTGCTCCACTCTGCTGACCCCACTGCCTCCTCTCTAAGCCTCAGTTTGCCCCTCAGTGAAATGGAAATGCTTTCCCTTTGGGTAACCATAAGGGGTAAGTCAAAGTTAAACATCCCCAGACTACACCACCCCCATCTCCAGTCACAACTCAGCCCAGCCAGGGGAGCAATGATGGAGACAATGACAAGGAGGGAGGTTTGGGGTGACCAGCTTGGGGGTCCCCTGTACACAGGCTTTGAGCTGCTTTACCAGCCAGAAGTGGTGCGTCTCTATCTGTCGTTGCTCACTGAGAGCCGGAACTTCAACACACTGGAGGCTGCGGCGGGGGCACTGCAGAACCTCAGCGCTGGCAACTGGACGGTGAGCCGCTGGTCTGGTGGGACCAAGGGGGACTCTGTGCGGGGTTATTGTTTACTACTGAGTCAGAGCCAACCCATAGCTGACCCTCCAGTGGTTTTTCAGAGGCAGCAAATCACATGGGAGAAGACATTACCCATCTTTTTCCTGCAGAGCTGGTGGATTCGAACCACATACCTTTTCATTGGCAGCACAATTCCTTACCACTAAGCCACCAGATGGCGAGGTTGGCACAGGATAGAACAGCGTTTAGAGCTCTTGTACCATGGGGTCGCTATGAGCTATGAGTCACAAGCGACTCCATGGCACATAACAACAACACCAAGCCACCAGAGTTCTCTCAATGAGGCTTGGCGGGTCACAAAGACCTAGAAGTGTGCCCAAGGGGGTAAAGAAGCTGGAGTGGGGTGGAAGACGCTCTTGAGCTGTTGAGGAAGGGGAGAGGATGCTGGAGCCGGAGGGACAGGCGGTGGGAGGTGCCAGTATGACATTGGCCTGGCCGAGGCTCCGCGCTGAGTGCTGTCCCCGCCGCAGTGGGCCACGTACATCCGCGCCACGGTGCGCAAGGAGCGTGGGCTGCCGGTGCTCGTGGAGCTGCTGCAGTCGGAGACCGACAAGGTGGTGCGCGCCGTCGCCATCGCCCTGCGCAACCTCTCGCTGGACCGGCGCAACAAGGACCTCATTGGTGAGGACGCCATCCGGGGCGCAAGCAGGGCGCGGGATGGAGCAGGTGGCCCTGGGACCCAGTTTGCACAGGGCCGTGCGGTGCGGCCCTGCCTCCGAGGCTTTGCCGGCTCCAGACCGTCCCGCACCGTCCCGGAGGCCCGGGCCTGGGTGTGACTGTCCTCGAGGGGGCGGGAGGGGGCGTGTCCTAATGCCTGGGCCCCGCCCCCAGGGAGCTACGCGATGGCGGAGCTGGTGAGGAATGTTCGCAATGCGCAGGCGCCGGCGCGGCCCGGGGCCCAGCTGGAGGAAGACACCGTGGTGGCCGTGCTCAACACCATCCACGAGATCGTGTCCGACAGCCCGGACAACGCGCGCTCACTGCTGCAGGCCCGCGGGGTGCCTGCACTGGTGGCCCTGGGCGCGGCCAGGTGGGCGGGGCGGGTCCCCCAAGGGGCGGGCAGCCGCGTGGTGGGGGGGCCGGGCGCTGACCCTGCCGGAGGCTTTGACACTTGCCCGGACGCTACAGCCAGTCGGTGCGCGAGGCGAAGGCGGCGTCCCACGTGCTGCAGACGGTGTGGAGCTACAAGGAGCTGCGTGGCGCCCTGCAGAAGGACGGCTGGACCAAGGCCCGCTTCCAGGTGAGGTGTCCACTCCTCTGTCCCCACCCTGTCACCTCCCAGGAGCAGCACCACCCTCACCCCACGCCTGCGTGTCATTACTTTCCAGTCTGCTGCTGCCACCTCCAAGGGGTCCAAAGGGGCGCCGAGTCCAGGGGGCTTCGATGATAGCACGCTGCCGCTGGTGGACAAGAGCACCGGTGAGTGCTGGGTGGGGGCGGTAGTGCAGGAAATGCAAAAACACCCTCCTCACAAGCTGATGGTACTTATAGACACTGGGGTCCTAGGAAGAGGCCCCTTCTTTCCCTGCTTCCTGCAGCGTTGCTGCATCCGAGGGTGATGCCATGTGCAAAACTGCTCGCTGTGTGCCAGGGCTCCTCTGGGTACTGCAAGTCACCCGTCTACCCCAATATTGCAGATGGTGAGAAATCAGGGAGCCGGGATGTGATCCCCATGGATACGCTGGGGCCAGGTGAGCTCAGTGGCCAGCTCCTTGTCTCCTGTATAACAAGGAGGTAGGAAAGTGGGGGTGAGGGTGGGGAGGAGTGAGATGTGTACTGCAAGGAAGGTCCCCCAGCTGTGCTAACTGGGAATTGGAGACTTAGTTTAGA